GTCCGTATAAAAAAAAAAACACCTAGTCGGCAAACTTAAACAAAAAAACTCCACTAGGCACGCATAGGACTCGGAGACATAACGGGGAGAACATTGAAGTACGGGTCACCATCCTCGCACAGGAATCAAGAACGCAAGCGCGCAAAACTCTCGAGGCGTTCTGGATTAATTCCAGAAATCCGGAAATGAACCGCAAGGAAGAATGCCTCATTATCACGCGTGATATTGGGCAGTATAGTATATAAGAGATATAGTATATAAGACTGTTATTCTGATGGGAGGGGCACATTACGCTTCCATGTGATATTTCGAAACCGACCTTCCCTAAACCTCGGTATGACAAATCAATATGTATTCTTTCTTGATAAGCTTGCACGAGGTTGATAAATATATTTATTTTCGGCTAACGTTTCGACGTCTTCGTCTTCCTCAGAGCCGGTGATCCGAGTCGATGGTCCATGCTTGTTGTTCGCCTCGACGTTGCGTCTTCGCCTTCCTGTCGAGCCAGATCTTCCTCAGCGAGCCATCTTCTCGAATGAGGCATCCCCACTCAGTGTTGCCCTTTTATACACGATGCTGATGGTGGATATATAATGACAATGTCCGGTGGTAACAACTTGTATATAATGACAATGTCCGGTGGTAACAACTTGTATATAATGACAATGTCCGGTGGTAACAACTTGTATATATCCACCATCAGCATCGTGTATAAAAGGGCATCACTGAGTGGGGATGCCTCATTCGAGAAGATGGCTCGCTGAGGAAGATCTGGCTCGACAGGAAGGCGAAGACGCAACGTCGAGGCGAACAACAAGCATGGACCATCGACTCGGATCACCGGCTCTGAGGAAGACGAAGACGTCGAAACGTTAGCCGAAAATAAATATATTTATCAACCTCGTGCAAGCTTATCAAGAAAGAATACATATTGCTTCCATGTGAATTCTGTGCGGTTGGTCTCCACGCGACATATTCAGTGGAGGCCTCATAGAAAGCGGTGAGTGTGCAAAGACTGTGTTCAATGTTATTGAAATCTTGGTTTAGCGTTTTCTCTGTTTGGTCATGGAGGTATTTGGTTGAATAGATTGCTGTTTCTTGACCTTTGGAGGCTGTGCGGAAGGCGAAATCCGTCGAAACGTCAGCTTATTCGTGAATAAAGAATGAAAATAACACCTCGCGTTTGCTGAACAGGAATACCAAGAATTACTTTATCAATGCCGAAGGTAATAAAAAGTCAGTGGTGGAATTTATACGAAACTGACACAAAAATAGGCCTAAATCTTTTTTTAGGTGGGTTGCACTATAAGTAAAATGGTATAACACCTTCGCAGAAATTAAACACTTTAATGGAAAATGGAATGTCATAGGCACAAGGACGCTGAGATATAGCAAAACTCGGGATCTCAGTTACGCCTAGAACTCTCGATTATCTATCCTTACCGAACGTGCTATCAGTCACACCATCCGCAGCCCTTGCTTTTACTTTCTCTCAGCTGTGTTCTTACTCTATCAGTGTGTTACTACGTTTTACTCAATCTGGCGACTGCTGGTAGGACTGACCTTCCCTGTTGTTGTATTTTACAGCAATGTTATTATTCGATGCAATGAAAAAGAATAAGCAGTGAATAAAAAGCTAGGACAATGTGGGAAGTCGCAGATTGAAAAGGCGAAACCTGCATTTGATCGCGAATAACCCCGAGTAGAAAGCAATAGTGGTACAACATTTCTTAAAGCTTATTTTGAGCGTTGAAGTAGAAGTAATGCCAAATTTCAACTGCACTTTCTGTCTCTCCTCGTCCCTCCCCCATCCCTCTCTTTCGTTCCTTTCAAAATTTCTTCGGAGCAGTCTGTTTTTCAAATATTTCTTTCTACGTCAATGGAGGCGTTCTATTGAAGACACCGAATTCTGTTTGATATCAACGTTTAGACTTTGTTGTGTCTAGCTCAGATGAAGACGTGGGAAAAGTGAACCAGAAGCTTGTCTCCTGCCAATGCATTAACTTAGAATTAGGTTACTGGGTAAACTGTTGATCTAAAAACTTTGTTTGTGGGAACATTTCACACTATGGGCAAACAAGTACCATAAGTAAAATGTAGCACTCTAAACGCATAGGTCCAATGCCCGCTGTAATAATATAATATAGATCTAAGCTAATCAAGAGTGCAATGAGCATCTCGGTTTATTGCATTTCATTAAAATTTCAAAAAATGTTGAATGCCTGCGATCCAGACTTCACTTGTCTACGAGATCTACGAGGTGATCATTCTCGGCTTAATCGTGGTCGTTGATAGTTCATTTATAAATGAATTGTGAAGGCTTGGAAAATTACTATAGCGGCAAAGCGCGCTCTCGATTGAAATCCGGAATCTGAAGAATTTCCCATCTAAACGCAACGAGGCCGGTGTTTGCCCAATTACCTTCCGATTTTGCGAACAATCGCACTCGTATAGCAAAGTGGTATTGCTTGTGCACAGCATGTTTTCATTGCACGGCATTGGCTGGTCTCCGAATTCCAGCAGGCCAAAGTCCAAAGTTCGCCACGAAATCAAGGAAATGTCAGGTAAAAACCATTGGTTGCTAAAGAAATTTAACAACGGAACAATTTTTTGAGTTTAACAAATAGCAGTACATAAAGGTTGAAAAACGGTCAATAGCAACTATAGGGTAGAACAAAGCTGAGAGAAAGGTAAAATGAAAGAACCGCATGGTGTGGTGGTGAACGGTTTAATCTCCGGAAAATGTAATCGCGACTTCGGTTCCCACTGCAGACAGCTGCGTTCCCGAGTTTTGTAAATATCTTAGCACAATTTTGTTTATATGAGAAATCTAAAACATGGCAAAATAGGCGACAAGGATATGCAGTGGTTGCAATTTCTTTTTTCTTACGAGGACTTTTTTGAGATTACATTTTTTGCTAAGTGTACGACGCCTAAGGGTATTTCGTCAGCCACTGTTTTCACGACAAGCTATTTTACGATGTTCATCTTCCAGTGTGTCTTTCGAGACCAGTCTTAAATATATACAGAGAGAGCGATTACCTTGAAGGAGTTCGATCCTGCGCCTCGGACAAACCAACCTTACATCATGTGGGGTCTGCAAACTGATATTGGACTTGTCTTTAAGGATAACAGCACTGACTTGACACATCAGTGGGCCACCGAAGGCCATTTTGTAGGCAAGTGATATCGATTCAGTTATCTCTACAATGTTTAATGGAATCGAATGCATGGTGCATCTCTCAGAGGTTGATAAACGCAAAACGTCCTAACCATTTTCCTTCTACGGAAAAGAATGTGACGGAGACTTTACGCTTTTAACAAATAAGAATGAAACTTGGATGGCTACCGTATTGGCGGCCACTTTGTTTTGTTCTCTTTTTTTTGTTATACAAACGACGACCAAGTTCATTGATCAGCGTTAAGGACTCAACTAGCTGCTTGATGACGTTCGTTTCTTTGTTTGCTGTTTGAGATCAATCTCAAACATATATCAAGAGGAAAGCAGTACAAAAGTTTTACCACTATACTGAATGAACAACAAATAAATATGCTGCAGATTACTAGGTGAATTCAGCAAAACTTATTAGCAACTATAGGTCCAATTCTGCTAATTGTAACAATGTATAACAATGTATTAGAAATGTGACGTGGGGAGAAATTCGCACTAGACGTATGGCAATCCAAGGTCCTTTAAATGAGTCTGACATTCCTCGTTGAACACTTCACCGAGTTCTTTCCATGCGGTTTTCTGCTCTTCTGTTACAGTGCCACGACTCTCCAAAAAGTTCACGAACACTGTGAAGAACACCTGAATGGAGTGAAAACGCCATTTGAATCTTCTGCTTCTCAGTCCTTTCATAGTTGTTATACCATTAAAAACATTCTATGTAATCCTCCCCTTCTGTTTCTGTGTGATCAGTTAATACCATTCCACGGAAAAACTTTCGAAGTTATCTGTGGTCAGAATCGACTTTTTTTGTACATAAAAGCGCTAAGACCTACCACCTACTTTCAAAGCCAATTTTTCGATTCATTAACGTCTCTTACTCATCGGCAGTCGTTCGCACATATTAAATGTCCAATTCACCTTATCTTCGATAATTAGACGTATAGAACGGCGTCTTTAATATTTGATTGTTAATGTAGATCAGAGCTTCGGATAGCCTCTCTCATTTGTTTGGTGCGAGATAATTATAGCAGTATCCTTTCCATATTCTATGACGCTGAGTGACCCATCATCTTCCTTGTGTAGCGACAACGTTTCTGGCGCATAAAATGGGGCAGAAAGAATTGTAGAGTAAAAATGGTGGTAGAAAAGGAATTACGTGTTCTTTCTTCTCCTCAGCATATTCTCAATACTCTTGAAAGATCCGCAATTTGCTCACTTTCCACTGGTCAACTCTGGAGCGAGGTCGGTCACTATCTGATCGCTATACATGCTTAGTTACTCGATATTTGAACGGCCCATCCTCACTAGTTGTGCGGGCTCCAGCATAATCACCATTTTTCGAAGATTTGCTGGTTAAGCCACTGTGGTTTCCTGGAATCCCGCGGACAGCCTGGTCAAAGTCTTCCCCAGGTCGTCACCACGACCGGTAGTCAGAGCCCATGTGGATCAGAGGGAGACATGCCACCATGCGACTTTAATACCAGGACGATGGCGGATCCTGATATTGGTTTACTCTCATATAGGCTGCTTAATGGAAACGCCGGACTCCTTCTCAGATTGGGAGGCCCAGCTGGAGTGATGAATCCTCCCGCTGTACATCGCAGTCCGACACACAGGAACACCTCCCAGCCACGATGAGGCGGTAATCCGTTGGGAGGATTTCTTTACATAGGTAGGTATAAGTAGAGCACTCGGAGATGTTCGTTCCTTTGAGCGTGAATTTAGCACACAAGACCAATTCGTTGTTCATGGGCATCTTTTTTGTGAGATTTAGTTTAAGACAAATCCTTCCACACGCGTTATCAAAATTGACAAGCATTCGTTACTCCTAGCTTGAGCATAGTGCGAGAAGAACGAAATCGTCAACAAGGCCAACAGATTGCGAAAACCGACCACTCCAACGTTCCCCAGTTCCAGTGTTCGCATAAATTTCTGGAGTGTAGCAGTGAGCAACTTTAATTCCCTCCAATTTGAAAACTGGAACTGGTCCGTATTTCTGGGTGTCAGAATAGAATGATTTTGGTATTGCAACTGACGATGTTTCGGTGTCGCAAGTGTTCTTTAGACTCTTTGAATATCTATCCGTTACCGTTGTTCCCCTCTCTTCAAGACCTTTCTTATCACCTTTCCGCATTGTTTTGCAAGTTCAGACACCAGTTCGCGGTTGCTGTGTGACTCCATGCTGACGTATCAGCTCGAATGTTTTTGAGGACAGACGGCTCTTGACGACATTCGACCTCTCAGCTTTCATAGCACTAAAGTGAAGACGATCTTCAATAGAGACGAGGACAGTGTAGTGGTTAGTGACGACGTCGACCACTAAGCAAAGGAGTTAATTAGATCACCTCTCAACACTCCTTTAATCAACAATGGAACGCCTTAGCCCGCCTATCTCCAAGATTAAAGGGAGAATTGATTCGACCAGCATTCCACGACATTCACGGAAAAAGACGAAATCCTCAAGAAGCAGCTGATAAAACAAGTAAAATGTTCCAAGGCCATTGTGAAAGTGTGGGGAAAACGAAACCAATGCAAGAAGGGCTGGCATCCCCATAGTAGATTTTGCGATGGATCACGCAAAATAAAATGATGAGTTGTTGAATAATCCGGTCTTATTCCTTGATCATATTGTCAACATCGGCGTCCTCACAAGAGCCAATTAATGATCTCAATAAACGCAAGTTAGGGGGTGGATAGCACAGTAGTAGTGATGCCGACCATTACGAGCACAGTAGGTCCGATCCCGCTCCAAACACGTCTAGCCTCTCATTCCTTCGAGATCGGAAAGTTGCTGCAGGACTTGTCTGGAACGAGCTCACACTCTTTGGTTCAAGTGGAAAAGCTCGAGTCCAGATATCTCAGGTCTCTAGAGGAAATCGATCCTGCCAACATTCTACGATATTCAAAATAAAATGAAAATGTTCCTTGTTTCACTAATAAACTAACACGAGGTTGCTACCAATGTTTATTCAGCAGACGTTTCGACGTCTTCGTCATCCACAGAACCGATGAGCCAAACCGATGTCCACAGTCGTTCGTCTTCTCCATGCGGTGACTTCGTGGCGCATTGATCCAGATCTTCCTTGCGGGAACATCTCTCGATTAAGGTGTACTCAGTCGGAGATGACCTTACATACAGGATTGTTCTTACTGAGATTGTCCGGCGATAACAGCTTGTTTTCCGGACAATCGATCCTGCAGAAGTTGGCATCATTATTAACTAAGGCGAAGCATAACAAGCATAACAATATCTTTGTCAACCCAGTATCATTTAAGCTCCATATGAAGGACCAATGAACCTTGCTTCAAAGATAAAAATCCTTAAGCAGCATCCGAAGTCTCATGTAAAACTTGGAAGACCTTCGTGGGTAGTAGATAGGAAAAAAGGAATAGAATGTGAGAAGTGCCGAAACCCTCATAGTAGACGTGAAGGCGTTTCTTGTGAAATATAAAATAAAAAGTCGCTGTTTATGGTATTTTTGGGATTCCGTTTTCGAACGTTTTTGAACATAGTAGCTTTCGCTCCTTTTTGCGAAAAATGGAATCTTGCACGAAGGAAGCAATGGTCTGACCTCCTACAGAATTTTGGGACAACAGCGACCTTGGTTTATCAAAATCTTCCATTTACTATGATATGATCCATTTTGGTATGCTAATTACCACTGGAAGACTCCCACACCAAGTTTCAAGAATTGCAAGTTACCATGGACGGTCTTGTTCGTCGTGATAAACTCAGACGCCCGCTCACCCTTTTCGTTCCATTCTGTCTGTCCTAATGTGATGCTCTTCAAAAGTTGTTGGTCTAGTCTTGGTGATGAAATATCCAAGGATGAGCTTGAAGAATGTATGGTCTTCTCTGTTGAACTCCTCCAAGCCGATATAGAGCGCTTCCACTTCTTCTTCGTCATAGCTTCATGCCGGCGCGTAAACGACGAAGATTGTCAAAGCCGGTATTGATCCACATCTTTTTAATCGTAAACGTCCGACTCGGGTTGTAAGTTGTTCGAATGAACTGATATTCATCGACAAACTCGTGTTGACGAGAACGCCTGCACCGCAGACTCCTTTGCTGTCACATATTCAGAGGAACAGTTGTTTTCTGGTATCAAAGACGGCGTCAAATAAGCTAAGCCTTCTTACCTCAGTCAGTCAGATGACGTCACACCTTAGAAGATTAGTAAAAGAGAACTTTCACTCTGCTGACGTCATGGTCTTCCTCAGGGTCGATTGATCCGAGTCGATGCTCCACAGCCATTCGCCCTCGCGATGTACGTCGTCACAGTAGTAGCGACTCCAATGTTAACAAGTGGAGCACCTCCCAAATAACGTAACATCATTGGGCAGTGCTTTTTTACACACGATGGATGTTGATACTAATTGACGGTTATTAATTATTTGTTGTTCCCCGGTCGATCCATCCTGCAGCGATTGGTGTCTTTACCAGCTACTAAAGAGTGTCACATTTTTCCAGAAACCGACTCTCCTTTAACCTCAGCAGGATTTCAACATGCATTTTTTCCATTGACAAGCTAGGGCGAGATTAATAGCAAAATATAGTTTAAAAAATCTCATGTGTGGTTATCGATAGATCAAGATACATTTTCAGATGCTCCTTCTACAACCATTCTTCGCTTCCTTTCACGTTTGAAGACTTCTCTACCAGGGTGATCAAGATGAAATTGTACGAGAACTTGAAGACAAAATGTTTGAAAGCTTACAGCCCAGATTTCCGGTTCCATTTTGAAGGTACGGTGTTTGTTTATTGTTTCACGTGTGAATGCGCGGAACGTTTTCTCGTGTAATAGGCAATCATTATAGTCCAGTGTTCTGCTTAATTTCATCCACTGACAACATCTTAATTCCGCTTAGTTTTATTTCATTATTCCTAAAGTTTTTTCATTTGTCACTTAATGTCATTGGATACCACTTATCTGACTAAATTTAAATCAGTAAAGTTTCTAGCACAAGTGGGCCAGAAATCGCAGCATCTGTGACAGAAATTTGCCACTTCGTAAAGATCCAAGGGAGGAGAATTGCAGCAATTTAATCTCACGCTTTGAAATCTGTTCTCTGCTTAGGTCAGCTACCAGTAAAGCTATTCGTTTGATGTTTAAATGTCGCATCTAGTTTCCACTGAGGTCAAGTTATTCTAAGAAGTCGAAGCAACGAATTGAAACACGGTG